GCTGCGTCTCCACTGTCGAGAGGAACCAGTTGAGGTGGCTCGGGCATCTGTTCCGGATGCCTCCTGGACGCCTCCCTGGGGAGGTGCTCCGGGCACGTCCCACCGGGAGGAGGCCCCGGGGAAGACCTTGGACATGCTGGAGGGACTATGTCTCTCAGCTGGCCTGGGAACGCCTTGGGGTCCCCCCGGACGAGCAGGAGGAAGTGTGTGTGGATAGGGAAGTCTGGGCGTCTCTGCTTAGACTGCTGCCTCCGCGACCCGGCAACGGATAAAGCGGAAGAAAATGGATGGATGGATGGATGGAATTTAAACTTTTTTAACAAATAAAAAACTGAAAAGTGGGGCATGCAACATTATTCGCCCCCTTTACTTTCAGTGCAGCAAACTCACTCCAGAAGTTCAGTGAGGATCTTTGAATGATCCAATGTTGTCCTAAATGACTGATGATGATAAATAGAATGCACCTGTGTGTAATCAAGTCTCCGTATAAATGCACCAGCTCTTTGATAGTCTCAGGGTTCTGTTTAAAGCGCAGAGAGAACCATGAAGACAAAGGAACACACCAGGCAGGTCCGAGATACTGTTGTGGAGAAGTTTAAAGCCGGATTTGGATACAAAAAGATTTCCCAAGCTTTAAACATCTCAAGGAGCACTGTGCAAGCAATTATATTGAAATGGAAGGAGTATCAGACCACTGCAAATCTACCAAGACCCGGCCGTCCCTCCAAACTTTCATCTCAAACAAGGAGAAGACTGATCAGAGATGCAGCCAAGAGGCCCATGATCACTCTGGATGAACTGCAGATAACTACAGATGAGGTGGGAGAGTCTGTCCATAGGACAACAATCAGTCATGCACTGCACAAATCTGGCCTTTATGGAAGAGTGGCAAGAAGAAAGCCATTTCTCAAAGATATCCATAAAAAGTCTTGTTTAAAGTTTGCCACAAGCCACCTGGGAGACTTTTTGGCCACAATGCAAAACGATATGTTTGGTGTAAAAGCAACACAGCTCATCACCCTGACCACACCATCCCCACTGTCAAACATGGTGGTGGCAGCATCATGGTTTGGGCCTGCTTTTCTTCAGCAGGGACAGGGAAGATGGATGGAGCCAAATACAGGACCATTCTGGAAGAAAACCTGTTGGAGTCTGCAAAAGACCTGAGACTGGGACGGAGATTTATCTTCCAACAGGACAATGATCCAAAACATAAAGCCAAATATACAATGGAATGGTTCACAAATAGACGTATACTATCCAGGTGTTAGAATGGCCAAGTCAAAGTGCAGACCTGAATCCAATCGAGAATCTGTGGAAAGAGCTGAAGACTGCTGTTCACAAACGCTCTCCATCCAACCTCACTCAGCTCGAGCTGTTTTGCAAGGAAGAATGGGCAAGAATTCCAGTCTCTCCATGTGCAAAACTGATAGAGACATACCCCAAGCGACTTGCAGCTGTAATTGCAGCAGAAGGTGGCGCTACAAAGTATTAGCGCAAGGGGGCCGAATAATATTGCACGCCCCACTTTTCAGTTTTTTATTTGTTAAAAAGGTTTAAATTATCCAATAAATTTTGTTCCACTTCACGATTATGTCCCACTTGTTGTTGATTCTTGACAAAAAATGTAGTTTTTATATCTTTATGTTTGAAGCCTGAAATGTGGCGAAATGTTAAAAGGTTCAATGGGGGCCGAATACTTTCGCAAGGCACTGTATATATACTGTATATATAGACTGTAGGTTGCCTCTCCCAAGAGCACCTCACGGTCCTTATCAGATTCCAGCGTTCAGAACAGTGGTGGGCCACCGACCGCTCCGACACGTCAACCAGATACGACTGAGCAAAAGTAGAGCACAATGCCCAGGACGTCACCTGGTAGACGTCCTCCACCGAGGCCCCCCGGAGCAGAGCCGTGGAGGCCTTAACCCCACGCGTGGAGTGCGCCCTGAACCCTGCTGGGGGAACCAATCCCTGAGGCCGGTACGCCATGCGAACCGCCCGGGAAACCCAGTGCGCCAGCCGTTGGGAGGTCAACGGGGCGCTCCTGTTCTTAGGACCCAAACACACGAACAGCTGATCAGAACGCCTGAACGCAGCTGTAACGTCCAGGTAGCATCTCAGCATCCTGACTGGACGTAGCAGGTGCCGCCGCTCATCCTCCTCCGAGGCATGAGGGGGCGGATAAAAAGGTCTGATTTTGATGACTCTAAACCTAAGGTCGAGGAAACGACCTTGGGGAGAAAGGCTAGATTGGGCCAAGCTCCACCAGACCCTCCTCAGCCCCAAACGACAGACAGGCCGGATGAAGGGAGAGTGCACACAAATCACCCGCCCTCTTGGTAGAAACCAAAGCCATCAAAAGGGCGGTCTTGAAAGCCACGCAATCCGGGCTAGCCTGAGACACTGGCTCGAAAGGAGGCCCCGACAGGCCCCTCAGACCACCTTCAGGTCCCAAACTGGAGGCGTCCCCCTGAGGACGGGCCTCTTTCTGTGGGCCCCCCGAAGGAAGCGTTTGACCAACGGGTGGGACCGGGCCGAAAGCTCCCGAACCCCCCGTGACCAGAGGCAATGGCTGACGCGAACACCGTCAAGGTTCCGGCAGCCCTCCCTTTCTCCAAAAGTTCCTGGAGAAACCCCAGAACTCCCTCCAGAGGGCAGGACATGGGGTCCCAAGCGGGTACCGCGCACCAGGCATTGAAAACCTTCCACTACAGCCATAGGCCCTGATAGTGGAAGGGGCCCTTGCACCCTGAATGGCCTCCACCACCGCCGGAGGAAGGCCCAGGTCTACGAGGTTCCGCCTCTCAGCCTCCAGACCCAGAGTCTATGGCCCAGCACCGGGCGCAAGTGAAGCATCCCTCCTCCCTGGACTGGACCCCAAGGCTCATCCGGGAGGGGCCACGGCTCCATCACCGCCATGCCCCTCAGGAACGGGAACCAGTGGGCATGCCGACTGTCCGGAACGACCAGAATCTCCTCCCGACCCTCCTACTCGATCCTCCTCAGCAGGATCGGTATGAGGCGAGTCGGGGAAAACGCATATAAGAGGCCCCCCGGCCACGGGTAATGAGCCAGGGCATCCACCCCCAGGGGCGGATCGTCTGTGGCCCGCAGCGCGAACCAGAGCGGGCGTTGAGCGTTGTCTGCACTGGCGAATAGGTCGACCACTGGATGACCGAATCTCAGCCGGACCTCTGCAGCCATCCGCGGGGCCAAGCCCCACTCCTCCTTGAGTGGGCCCCCTCTGGGCATCAGGTCCGCCCCTGTCTTCCGGTCTCCCGGACGTGGCGTTCTCTCAGATACTGCAGATGAACCGTAGCCCAGAGCAGAATGATCGCTGCCAGGCGACGGAGGGAGGGGGACCACGGGCCCCCCTGTCTGTTCAGATACGCCACCACGGTCGTGTTGTCCAAACGCACCATCACCTGCCTCCCCTCCAGTTGTGGAGCAAAGTGCAGCAGCACAGTTGATGTGGTGAGAGGGATCTGCACCACAGCATGGGCCGCCGCCATCATCCCCAGGAGCGATCTGAGGCTCCGAACGGGCACTCTGGGAGCGGTCACACCTCCCTGGCCAGGCGGGTGATGTTCCCTCGCCTGTCCTCGGATAACGCAGCTCGGAACCCACCGAGTCCAGCTGCACTTGGAGAAGGTGCGCGGATCCAGCGCGTACCTGAACGGGAGGCGGCAAAACTCGTAACGTGTCCCTCCCACAGCTAAGTGCTCTGTCACTATCGCTATGTGGAAATAGGCGTCTGTCAAGTCTATGGCAGACATCCAATTTTCGGGCCTGACGCACTCCAGAAGCTGCTTCGTGGAGAGCATGCGGAATGGCCGTTTGGAGATGCACTGGTTTAATGTGCACAGATCCAAGATGGGGCGCACCCCCCCTGACTTCTTGGACACCAAGAAGTACGGGAAGTACAGCCCCCTGCGGACTACAGGACCTGGAACATTGCCCCGAATGTCCCCCCACTCTCCTTGTGCTCCCACAGGAGAGGGGGGGTGCTCCAAAAGGCCGTGGGTCCCTAAGCGCTACGCTGCGTGAGACAGATGGGTCCAGACCCTCTGTCCCACTTACAGCAGCCTGACTCTTACGTTTCACTTCCCTCCGAGAGGACAAAACGCTAGTCATATCAGAGACTGGAGTAGAGGTAAGAATCGTAGCAGTCTGACTCACACGCATTAAGCCTCCCCGAGAGGAAAAAGTGCTAGACCTGCTAGTACCTGGAGCGGTGGTCTGGACTAGCCTGTCCCACTCGTAGCAGCCTGACTCTTACGCCTCGGACGAACAGCAGAAGGCAGCAACATCTTGATTCTTCAGAGTAGAGTGATCTCTCTATGGCGCCAGAGTTCAAAGTGGCAGGTGCGGGCTGCAGAGGGCTGTTTATAGAAGGGACTGGCCCTTGATTGGAGCATTGATTTCTCTCTGGCGGGAGGCTGAGAGCCTCTGGAGTCTACCCATAGTGTAGCTAAGGGGTGTAGCACCATGAAGTAGAACCATTAGTAATCATAACTTGTGGTCAGCCCTTACTGGGGGTTTGTAAGCGTTCGCTTCAGTGTGCTCCTCCATGATTTCTTGCAGCCTGATGGACCACACACCTGCACCTTTTCTAGCCTGACGACCTGACTTCCTCTGTTGTGCTGCTCCATGATTGGCTCCTGCCGGGCCACGCCTGCACCTAGTTTGGACTGAAATTGCCCCTGTGTGCCCCTCCATGATCTCCCGCATGCCACCACCAGGGTTCAGACACATACTGTAACACACTTTTTTCAAGAAAGTACTTACTTAGTGAACCCCCAGGGGTCCTTTCCATGTTTTTACAGAGACTGCATAAGGACCGTTGGAAAAGCATTACCCATTGATTTTTAAGCTTGTACCAGTGGGGTCCAAGCTCCACAAATCTCTGGTTATGGACCCCACCAGGGGTTGAAAACATGTGCACACACACACACATACACAGTCTGGTCTAATGTGTTGCTTTTCCTCTCCTCCAGGTAATGCTCTTGTCTCTGACAGAGGTCAGCTCCAGATGTGGAGAAGACGTGGTGCTGATGTGTGAGGCCAACATTGATGTCAATAAATACCTTTCTATCACATGGTACAAGGTATGTGCATTTTTGTGCTCTCACTGAATAAATCAAGGTTAATCTTCTAAATTGATTTGATGGATCAGTTTTTGGCTGTTTGTATTCAGGGCAACAAAGAGGGCATAATCAGAAAAAACTTGCCTGACAAACTCAGTTGGTACGATTTTGGTCGAAACGTGAGTCTCAATAACGACAACAGTCTGCAGCTGGCCAAAGTGACTCCGGACGACTCCGGGAGGTACGAGTGCATGGTCAGTGCTCGAGTGGGCTTTCAGAACCTCAAACTCCCGGTGCAGCTCACGGTGCAGGGTGAGACAGAAATTCATAGCCATTCACTTATCCTTCAAGACTCATTTCAAACAAAAGTTATAGCTCAGAGATTACGTTTTTCTTCATGTGTTTTAAATTATGAAGATGCATTCGGTGGTGGAGAACATTTTGACCAATAATAAAGGCTGTTTGAGTCTTTAGAAAATAAAGGTGTTTCTTAAAAATCTAATTGCTAAAAAACATGGGGACTTTTGAGCTTTTGAACTTTTGATACGAGTGATTGGTTTGTTTTGACCAACCTTTATAAAAGACGGAGGGAGATGAAAAGAGATGGATTTGAGTGTCCAAGAAGACAGTGTATAAATAAGAGGTCTCTGCATGAGAGTTGTTCTTTCACATTTGGTGTTTGGTTATGGTTTTGAGGCACAGATCCAGACACATTTTTATCTTGTTGTTCATTTGATCAGATTGTGAGCCTGACGTGACCACAGAGGGACCTCATGGACCAGAGGGACCACAGGCCCCTCACCTGCCCCTGGTCTGGAGCCTGGTAGGATACGGTGCTGTGGCGTTCACCAAGATCACCCTTTCCATCATGATCATCTGGGTGATTTTTTTTTCAATTTAATTCAAGGAAATGCAATAAAAACAAACACATAGGAGCCATTGGTCCATAGGGAGCGGGAGGACCTATGTCCATAAATCTTAATAAATGTCCATAAATGTCCATAAAGGTCTTCAATCCTCCTGAATCGGTAAGAAACGACTGGTGCACATAAAAGGTTCAGGGCTTTTGTCATCATGCCATGAAACAGAAAATGGGACAGTAGGTAAATAGCAATGAACAGACTACAGCTGAAGCCATGATGACAGATTAATACAAGATTTTTTATCTATTTTATTTTGCACCGGAATTAGTAGGCTACTTTTCATCTGAAGTCCCTGGGCAGGTGTACTGTACATCGTCTCCCTAAGGGTTAGGGTAAGGATAATAACAGTAAAAAGTCAGACAATAATAAAATGCAGTAAAACACTGAGAAGAAAACAAGAAAACATGACTGTGGGTAAATCTAGCTTGAATACAATTGCTGTCTCTGCAGATAAGACTCACTTCAATGAGATAAAAAAAAGACATTTAATAAATATGATAAATATGTACAGTAAAACACCACTGCAAAATCAGCTCAGATGTGACAGGAATTAAAGCTGTAACCACAAAGCAATACAGTCTATTTTTGAGGAAGTCTGCCCCAAAAACCCGAAATCGAAAGCACTTTTTAAAAAAATGTAAATGAAAAGGTTTCCGTGATGTTGACACCTTCTGCGACGTGTGGCTGCCTTTTTTGTGTGCAGATATTTCACATCTGCTCGAGGAGGAAGAGAAGATTGGGAAGATAATGTATTGTTTAAAAACAACGCTGTTTAAGTTATACTACTCTGTGATAAACTATGTTTTCATAAATTTAAATAATTATGATAACAATTTAGTTGCCAAAGGAGGCATTTAATGAAAAAAAGTTTTCTGTTCAGAGAAGCTAAAACAACACAAATCTGAGTGACTCATTTTGAAGATTTTCAAACAGGCCACATTCAAGTGAAAAATGAAAGATTGTTTTGACGTTTCCTCGAAGTTCGAGTAAATTCAACAATATCCAGCTTTGTTTGTACATGTGTAAATAATAAATAAATAAAATCACTATGTATACTGTCCAATATGTGTGTGGTGCTTTGTTTTTTTCTGGAAGACCAGATGAATATTAATAACATATAATATTATATTAATCTTATATTCATATATATGTATATATAATGCTCAATAACGAGACATTACAGTATAGTGACTATCTCTGAAGTGTGTGAACACATTACCACCTGCTGGCCTCAACTGGTACGACAGGTACAACACAGTTGCCCTTGAACAGGCAAAATGTTAATGGTGCTGTTTGGACTCAAGAAAATCATGACCATTAGTAATAAAAATATGCATTTACTACATATTACGAGACATAAATAACCATAGTGCAAGTGGATTAAGTAATGTCTTGACAAAAAGTGGTGGTTTGTCAAATGTTTACAGTATTTGAAATTGTGAATACGGTCAGGTGCTGAATTAGCCCTCATCATTTTTCACTGTACCATAAATGTAACTCAGTGCTACTTACACAAAAGTGTATCACATTGCACTAGGATACGGACCAGGATGATGCGCCTCCTTGTGACTTCCTCAAAGCTAAATGGTTATAAATGTTCTGAGATGGACTATATGGCAGAAATGACTGTGGTTTTCTTGATTCTGGATGTAGATTTAGATTTTTTGACAATTAGCATCTTCACATCTCGTTGTAGAGGTAATTAAACCAATTAGGTTTTTTTCACAAGTTCTATCTTTCTTTGTGACCTTGGCGTGTGAAATGTGCTACTGTACATATAAAGAAGACTGACTCTCTCTCCTGTCTCCTGGCCAGTACGAGCAGGTGGGGGAACAGTGTCTCAATGTTTGTGCATATAAACTCATCAATTAAAAACAAGGAAACAATTGTTGGCTAAACAAAAGCCCACATGCACCGGTCAAAGATCAGCCATGCTGGATAATTAGGTCGAAGTATATTGAGGTAAATCTTATTGACTGACTGAGGGTGGTCACAAAGATAAGCAGGAAGGCAAGGTCATGCCGTGCAACCCTTGTTGATAAAGTCTTTTTTTTTTCTAATCTTTTTTCTTTTCTTTTTTAATATAACCATACTGGAAACAATACTGCCATGTTCACAAATCCCTGTCCTGATTGTTTTAGAATCAAAATGTGCCTATACATGCAGATGTCAATATTGCAGTTGCAATAAATAATTGTATGTATTCATTTTAAGATCCTTATATGCACAAGATTTTAAGAGTTTATCTTACACTTTGGGCTGCACATATAACCATTATCCAACACTACTGATGACCTCAAAGGGGGATTTGGTGTCAAATAATCATTGTAATTAGGGCTTTTCAGGTAGTATTTTTACAGACATACTGTTAGATATTTAGATTTACACTGTTAAAATAACAACAACAACTATGATAAAACCTGTAAGAAGTCTAAAAAGTTGTGTTCATGTGACATCACAACAGTCCAAAGAGCCTATAGTTTAATATTGTGGTGGTGGGGGGGCAGCTGAATTTATTTGGTAATTTAGCTGGTAACTATGACAACCAATTCCTCACAAAGTCCTAAATCTTCTTTGTCTGTACATTTCAACTTCAAAAATTGTTTAACCATAAATGTCTAGAATTGGTTTGGAAAAAATATGGACATTTTCTCTTTCAACAAGTCTTTCCCACAGAGTTGCATTAGCACCTGCTTGGCACTTTAAAGTTGGGCCTGTAAAGCATGTTCAGGGCTTTAACCTATCTTTCTTTAATGCATATTATTTATTATTGTTGGTTCAAATCTCCCAGTCAATCTGAGCAAAGAAGACCACTCCTGTCTTTCTGTCCAGTTTAAATATTTGACAGCGCAGTGTGAGTGAGGAGTTAACCAGCAGCGAGCATGTGGTTAATCTTTTCTAAGGCGCACACTTGCAGCCTTCAAAGTGCTCCTCCGGCTGCCCCTGACACACTTGGAGCTCTTTCTCCTGAAGGCAGTGCAGGCTGGTCCCACGGGAGATCATGGATGTATCGGCTCTGGCCAAGAAACTGTGGTGCGTCCACAAGCAGCTCATCCTCGTCTTCACGCCACTGCTGTTTCTACCTCTCATATTTGCACTCCCGGAGAAGGTTTGTCCAGTTTAAAATGATTATGTCGGCTTAAATTCATCGAGAAGTGAACTGAAGGGAGTTAAAGCTGCATTTTGAGTCGTTGTGTACATTGTGTTTCTAGATGCCCAAATGAACACACTTGCACAAAGAACACAGAATATTTAAAATCTGTCCCTTTTCATTGCTCTTAATGAATCTATGGGTAATAAACATAAAGCAACACATTCATTCAGAATACTGTTGGTGAGGTGGTGTCTATTTCAGTGAAATCATTAAAAAAAACATGATCTAAGTGGCTGTGGGGATTCAATCCAAGTTATTCACAAACACACCCCTTTCTTATGGATAAGTGTTTTCCCCAATGTTCGGGAAAAACGCAAAGGTTACATCTGCAAATAGACACTCATATTCAAACTATTCATGAAGTCTTTTTAAACAGGCTTACACTGTATGTTTTCACTGTATGTTACTGTACAGGCCATACCTGCAATGTACCCAGGGTTAAACTGGCCTCATTTATGCTTGTGCTTTTGTAATACATTTGGGACAGTGGAAACAATATGATAAAATCTTGGCCGTGTCCAAATCACAAATGGATAAAAATGTATTATTTATAGATAGTATTTACATTACATTTTAGCATCAGTTAAGTATCACGATTGTTTTGTATTAGAGTAAGACAAATATTATTTTTATAATACGAAGTGAACACTGCTCTGTCATTCAGCCCTCATGCAGCTGTGTCAATCAAAGAAAAGTCTGAGCAGTGAATGGAAATAAAACAAGTGCATGTTCCACTCCGTGCAAGGTGCAGTGTAAGGGTAAGAGCTGTAGGTTGAGGGAAAATTTGGTGTGTAGATGGAATGCAGTAGTAGGAAGACACATTCAGGACAACCCATGGCCTGGCGGGGTATGTGGTCTCCGGTTATTTTAAATACATTTCTGAAAACTTAAAATGGAACTAAAGTGACAATGCAGACTGGAATATCTCCATGGTCCCTATGCCAGCTGCCATCCACCTGAATCCTCCATCACCACCTCAACGGTGGAAGTGTCACTTTTCATGTCATTGGCTCAGCTTCCTCTATCATCTAGGCCTTGGCGGATTGCATAAGATTTATTATTATTTATCATTTCTTTCTGCATACAGTATATCATGCGGCATTTTGCCGGGGTCTAATCACCAAACCATATCCAACATGTCCATCCATCCATTTTCTACCCTTTAATCCATTTCTGGGTCAGGGAGGTGGCAATCAGAGATGCCACCCAAGTCTCATAGCACCAGCCCCTCACTGATCCTCTGCAGGTGGTGAGTCCACAGGACTCTTTCAGTGGGGGCTTTGGGCAAAGTGGGGTTAAGTGTCTTGCCCAAGGACACAACGACAGCAATCAGAGTCGATGGAGAAGGTGCACAGGTGGGAATTGAACCCACGACCTTCTGGCCTAAAGGCCAATGCTCTACCAACTGAGCTACTGTCGCCCCCCCAACATGTCATGTGCTATATATCATTTAGTGCCATCTGATTACCTGGTCTAAGTGTATAAGCATGAAGTATCAAATACCATGCAAACATAACTCAATAAACATAATTCTAATGCAATCTTTGTCTTTCCAGATTTATATAAATACTTTTAATGTATTCACCATACTTTTTCTAATACGTAGTCAGCATTAGAACATTATACTTGGTGGCATAATAAAAACATATATAATGTTTCTTTGCATTGTTGAATTATCTTTGTCTGTGTTTTCAGGAGGGAAAATGCCTGTATGTTGTGGTTCTGATGGCCACGTTCTGGTGCACGGAGGCCCTTCCTTTAGCAGTGACAGCGATGCTCCCAGTGTGTCTGTTCCCCACTCTGGGCATCCTTACATCCAAAAAGGTGTGTCCGCAGTACTTCCTGGAGACTAACTTCCTGTTCTTGAGCGGGCTGCTGATGGCGTCGTCCATTGAGGAATGGGGCCTGCACCGAAGAATCGCACTCAAAGTGCTGAGCATTGTCGGAGTTCAACCAGCCTGGTGAGAACACAATTTACATTCTCTGTTCTCAAAGCAGAGGCAGTGATTTGTCCGCTAAAAAACATTTCAATAAAGTACTTGGCTGTAAATGAAATTGACAAATCTGTTTGAACACAGTATTCTTTATGTGATGTGATCTCATACTGTTAATATCTCTAATAGCTGTGGATCATTGTGTCTTGAACATCTCAATATTCATCTTGATGCAATGCAACATTTCCTCTCTTCCACACTGAAAACTGCCATGGTCCATGTGTATGTCATTAACTTTGAATCATGCATAGTTTGCCCTATTTAAACATGCCATATTCACAATAGTGTCTCCATCCATCCATTTTCTACCCTTTAATCCATTTCTGGGTCAGGGGGGTGGCAGTCAGAGATGCCACCCAAGTCTCATAGCACCAGCCCCTCACTGACCCTCTGCAGGTGGTGAGTCCACAGGAGGACGGCTGCTCTCTGAGTGTGAGCATAGCCTTGATCTTTCAGTGGGGGCTTTTGGCCAAAGTGGGGTTAAGTGTCTTGCCCAAGGATACAACGACAGCAGTCATCAGTGGGAGTCGGTGGAGAAGGTGCAGAGGTGGGAATTGAACCCACAACCTTCTGGCCTTAAGGCCAATGCTCTACCAACTGAGCTACTGTCGCCCCCAATAGTGGGGGGCGACAGTAGCTGTCAATAGTGTCTCCTCTTGGCATAATCCCTGCCAGTAAGATTTGCTGAAGGAGAATGGCTAAACCAATGGGGAGAAAGCTCAACTGTCAAATATGTGAAATATGTAACCCTTGTGTTACCCTCGGGTCAAAATGACCCCGGCACAGTGACTAAAAGTAGAGGAAAAATACCCTAAATTAGGATTATGAAAAATGATAAAAATTTCATATTTTCTAATCACTGTGGTGGATCACAAGCTGCTTCAGAATGAAAAGTGCCAATATAGCGACAGATCACAAGCAATCAGTAGATAATATTTAATCTGTGCCAAAACAGCTAATCTTTAATAACATACAGACCAGAGTTACAATTGTTATTTTTGGGCATTTGTTCTCTCACTCCACACAGAGATGGGAACGGGGTTGCCAGTACAGGAGGCGCATGCCAGACCTATTGTACATGTTTTTAGTGGATGGAGGAAACCAGACTACCCGGAGTAAACCTCTGCAGACACTGGGAGAACATGCAAACTCCACTCAAACAGGCCCTGTTCCCCGACCAGGATTCGAACCCAGGACCTTCTTGCTGAGAGGCAAGAGTGCTATCCACTCAGCCACCGGGCCGCTCAATCTGTGCCAAAACTCTGAGATGTGTCTGATCTTCTCCACAGGCTGATCCTGGGGATGATGCTGACCACCTCCTTCTTGTCCATGTGGCTTAGTAACACAGCCACGACCGCCATGATGCTGCCAATCGCCAACGCCATCCTGGAGAGTCTGTTTGGAGACCTGGAGGAGCTGAAACGCAAATGCAGAAGCAAAGAGGAGCCAGAGAACGATGCCATTAATGGTATATAACACAAATGAAGTGTATCGTCTCAACACTGTGTGTGTCAAAACCTTTGTTAATGGCAACAGCAATTTTGTTTTATTTTGATTCGATGCCATGCGCTACACTGCGGGCAGGTGGTGACACGGGCCCCTTCTGGTGGCTGAATGAACCATGAGAGACAAAGTGCTGAGCCATTTTGCTAACAATCTGACAGGGATCAGAAATGCAGAACCTTCTGGAGACTGACTTTGATGATGATGGAAGGACAAAAGTTTGAGGATGTTCATGTTTTTTGCCACATTTGTTTGTAGTCTTTGTGAATTTACAATTAATAATTCAAGCATGTAATAATGTAATATTATTGTTATTATGAATAACCCTGTAGGATCCCATATGGAGTAGTTATTTTCCTGAACAGGGGCCTCTGGACAGAGCTCGAACACGATGTTACATCTTTGCTTTTAATATGTAATCCAACAACATGATTATTGACACAGTCATTGCTTAAGTGGAGCATTCAATGTACCAAAGGTCTTCAAATTTTACATTTTAACTGATGCATGCATTTTGCAGGTCACTCTACTGTCAAGCTGCATTCACTTCCCTCCATACCATCGGAAAAACAAATCTTATCAATAGATATGTGAGTCTGTTAAATAAAAACTTGTCATGGTTTATTTGTGGGACAACTCAATATGATGTTGCTGTTTTGTCAGCGAGGAGGCACCGGAACCCCCAGAAACACGCACTTCAGACGAGATCCAGTCTGAGGCTCAGTACCAGCTCAAGGTCTGGAAAGGGTTCCTCATCTGTATCCCATATGCAGCCAGCATTGGAGGGACCGCCACCCTGACCGGCACCGCACCGAACCTCATCCTCATCGGGCAACTCAAGAGGTGACCATCGACTCTTGTTGTATTGCTACGAACAGTGGAGTTCCAATGGTCTGCAAGGGCCTGAGTAAGAACTCACAAAGAGCAGAGACTTACCACTGTATTCTTCTGTACATGGGTCAAAAGTTAAATGGGGAATTTGTGTTATTTTGAACTGGCTGAAGAAGTACTGAATATATATTCAACTACTCAATATTTTGTTAGGGGAAGTCCTAGTTTATGAAAATATATGTTATTGCTATATTTATATGCACCTACATTTGCACTAATTGATACTACTCCACCGCTGATATGTCTACACATATGATTTCACTGTGGGATTACTCGAATAGTCAGCGACGCAGTGTTTTAGCATCACTAGTATTAGTATAATTGGAAATGGCAGCAGTTTTAGTTCTAACCTATTACATTTTGCAGTTACTTCCCCGAATGTGACCTGATAAACTTTGGTTCGTGGTTTGCCTTTGCCTTCCCGCTCATGCTGCTCTTCCTGTTCGTGGGCTGGCTCTGGATTGCGTTTCTGTATGGAGGATTGAACACACGGTAAATAACAGCTGTTTATTATGATAAGAGACAGGCTAGGGCACATCTGCATTATGTGGGAACATTTGTGATTTTAAAATATAAGCAGTATATAATATTGATAAATTGTAGCATCTGTAATTATTCTATATCTGCGCAAAGCAACATTATGTCAGTTTAGTCTTTGTAAATTCGTAAATAATTTGTCAAATATTACAAACCATATGGCGCTGCAAAGAGAGTTTAAGTTAAATCCCCAATCGGAGTTTTGCAAAATGTAGTAGTTGTTAATGTTTGACAGAAATACTTTATATAGTAATGTATGTGTTGTGATCATTACTCACCACATAGATATTATTAATGTAACTTTCTCATGCTAGTGTTACATTCTAACATTGCATGAGGATGTTGAACGAGGATTTTCACCTCCTGAACCAGGAATTTCCATCCTCTTCTTGGTATCACAAGTAAAAATGCATGGATTTTCCCCATAGGGATTTTGAAAAATATATATTGTACAAAATTGAAAACTGATCTATTTGGTGAGTAATGGTCACAAGATCTACATATTATAGGAAGTTTATAATAAAAGAGGAAGTGACATTAAACAGAACAAAGCAATAAACAAACATTGCTAAATTTGATTGCATTTTTGTCTGAAACCGCCGCGCTGTGGACTCACCTCAGTCATGTAACCTGCCATACTCTAATTAAGAGTAATTTGTATTTAACAAAACTTATATGGGGGTATTGAATTAGGAATGTATCTTCTGGAACACAACCCTGAGACTGCCTATCTCATCTCTATAATATAAACAAATCAAACCGCTGGATGCCAATTTAAACTATAATTATCTGATGACAAATATGTCGATATTTTATGCCAATGCCTTCATCGTATCTGTATCTATGGTTTTGAAAATCAGAAAAAAAAATCTGTTGTACTTGTTTAAATAACAGACACCGCTCAGAATATTCAAACCTGATTGTCTTTTCTTTGTCAGGTTGTGCTTTAAACGAGAGGACCACAGGGCGAAGGCAGAGGCCAGGGCCGCAGCGCTGATTGTGGAAGATTACAAAAAGCTGGGGCCCATAAAGTGAGGACCCCTGTATGTCTTCAGATCTCGCTGCAGCCTCTGTCCTTCATTCCCTGCTGCATTCTCACTCCTGCTCTTTTTTCAGTTTCGCAGAAGGCGCAATCTCGTTCTTTTTCCTGGTGTTTGCGATTCTCCTGTTCACTAGAGATCCCAAGTTTGTCACTGGTTGGGCTGTGTTTTTTAAAAAGGGGTAAGTGAGTGTCTTTGTAGCTCGAACGGCATTGCGTAGTGGTTTGAATGTTTGTGGTTTGCTATATAGAGGCTTCCTGCTGAAGTTTGTGTGATGTTTTTGCGTCGCTCTTGTAGGTATGTTTCAGATGCGGTCACTGGAGTCATCATTGTGTCCGTCCTGTTCTTTTTCCCGTCACAGAAACCTTCACTGCGCTGGTGGACTGATCCACATGGTAATAAATGAGTTTAGCTATTTCAGAGTTTTCCTCATATAAGATAAGATAAGAGAACCATTTTTCGTCCCACAGTGGGGATATTTTCATTGTTAAAAGTCTATTGTGTCACCTTAGTGTGCTCTTGTAAACAGAATTGTTATGAAGATGTTTTATACCTGCTTTTATATCTAGTTTTTACTTTAATAACTTGTTTGCACCATAAGCCTTGTGTAGGAAAGGCACTCAAACTCAAACTGGACTTTGGATTCTGAGAGATGTAGCATACACAATCAAACTCAGAATAGTGTGTGAATAGGATGTGCGAAATTTACTTGCTGCAATTTTGTTTTGGTCTAGGTTTAAGATAACATACATAATCAAATAGGGTACAATCTATACCCATTTATTGCATCCAATTTCATCAGTGTTATATGCCTGAAATAATCCAGAGAATGTTAATGATGCAGATAAGACCACAATACGATGTTTGTGTAAAACTGTAAGCAGCTTTGCAGTGTGAGTGAATACAGAGCTAAGAACGTTTTTTTTTTTTCCAAGGACACATTTATAATTAAATAGTTCAGATCCAGGGCACTTTAGAGGAACTTTGTCCCTTATCTGGCCTGGGAATGCCTCAGGATTCCCCCAGAGAAGATGAAGGTAGTGTGTGGATAGTGAAGTCTGGGTGTCTCTGCTCAGTCTGCTGCCCCCACAACCCGGCAATGGATAAAGTGTGATAAAGAATGTATGGATGAAAAAAAAGTGTAAAATCGCTCAAAAATGTGGCAAAATGTATCTTAACATCCGCACATTTTGACTTAATTAAAACAAAATTTACCAATGGTACAAAAAAAGTATAATGTTTTAAAAATATACAAGCACTGTCTCTGTTGGAATAAGAAAACAAAGCAACAGTTCTTGAAATTAATGGCTTTGTCCCATTGGCAATTATTACGTCATATTTTATCATTACTTGCAGTGTAGTCTAAACCAGAACTAGTACAGGTCTGAACAAGGTCTAACTTCTCACTTAAATCAGGACTGGACCAGAAATAACAGACAGAACCAGGTGAAAAGTCTCAGTGTATTTCATTATAGACTCTAAACAATGGTCTATAAATCTAAACTAGAGTAAAAGCATGACCTGAACTGGGACTAAACTATGTCTAATCCAGTCATAGGCCATTCTTTCTTAACAGGGACCAAAGCTGGTACAATTCTGCTTGAGTGAGAGTGATGTTTGTTTTCAGCAGCTGCTCAAACACACACTGGGGGGCACCGGGTTCAGACTGTGCATTATTTACAAACATGTGGGACACTTCAGGCTTGAGCCGTAAGAGAAAATGCTGCTTTTGTCTCTTTTCTGTGCAGCGTCCAACACTCCGTACGTCCCTCTTTTGTCGTGGAAAAAGGCCCAGGACTCAGTTCCCTGGAACATCATACTGCTGCTGGGAGGAGGCTTCGCTATGGCCAAGGCCTGTGAGGTAACCACATGAAAAGCTCATGATTATTCAAGTCTCGGTCCAACAACATCATAGACTTAGTTCAGGGCTGTCATAGGAATGGCTTACTTATAACAGGTTTGTTTTAGTAATTACTATTTCTTGACTATAGTTATCATTTACAAGCATTCAGACATTAAGTTTCTACACATTAATACTTTAAATCAGTCGACCAGTGGCTGAGTGGTTAGCACCCGGTTCGATTCTACCTGAAAGGGCCTTTCTGAGTTTGCATATTCTTGCTGCGTCTGCGTTGGTTTCCTCTGGGTGCTCCAGTTTCCCCTACCACTAAAAGCAAGTACAACAGCCACCCTCTGTCTGAGGCCAGGACTCTCCTGAGAATCTGCTTATCTTTTCTGGTTGAATGAAGGTTAAAAAATAGTTAGCTCCAGTATGACCTAAAACCAGTGAAATTATCATAATATATTCTCAAAGAAGATTGCGATAGCAATTCACGAGACTCATGTTCCATATGAAGAGGGCTCTGATGTATTAAAGGCCAAAGAGGCTTTGTGTGTGAAAGCCCCAAACAAGTCCTGGTCCACGAGTCTGAGTGACCTCACATGCTTTGAAAGCGTTCGGTGACGTTATGAACTGTTGCATTTACTTGTGAAGTCATCTGAGTCCACTTGACAAATAAGTGAGAATGCGCTCAGAGCATACTCTTTACACTTACATTTTCTAATATTGACAATAGCAGTTCTACTATTGAGTATGTAGAGTATTTGTCTTTCCTTCACTGTCTCATACAGACATCATTGAGGGAACTATCTCTTGTGGCTGCCTGCGCTGCTTTATGAGGCTCGTCCTGTGTTGTTTGGCAGGAGTCTGGTCTGGCCTTTTGGATCGGCGCTCACCTCGAGCCCTTGGCACAGGTCCCTCCGCCTGCAGCTGTCATGCTCATCACCGCTTTCCTCGCCTGCTTCACAGAGTTCGCCTCCAACACTGCCACCATCATCATATTCTTACCTGTCATTGCTGAACTGGTGAGAAATCTAACAGTCACAAAATTCTCGATATGAATGAACAGTGTCTATGATGTTATGCTCAGAGGTAATTATAAAGAGGTAAAGATAAATCATCTCCAGACCCATTCCAAGCTTTTCAGTCAAATAATGCACCAATTTCTTATATTGATATTGTTACAGGCTCTTCGAGTGTCGGTGAACCCACTCTACTTCATGATACCTGCCACAGTAGGATGCTCCTATGCTTTCATGCTGCCAGTGTCCACTCCTCCGAACTCCATCGCTTTTGCATCGGGACATCTCCGGATTAAAGACATGGTGTGTTCAAAACATATTCTTACTTTCCTATTCTTCCAATTTGTGAATTATAGCTATACTATGTCTTCTAATTGTATACCTTGGTTTTATACTGCACTCTACCCTCTCATTCCAACCACACATAAACGTCCCTCTCCACCCCTCACTCTGACAAGCCCTGACAAAACTCTGCTACCCGCCTGCTCCCCCACAGAGACCACATCACCCCCATCCTCAAATAACTCCTGTCCTGTCCTATACCGCATACAACAAAAGGTCCTCCTCATCACCTAAAAGTCCCTTCAGTACCTGGCCCCCTCATGTCTCACCGACCTCTTCCAACAGCTCTGTCCCTCCCACCTTCTTCAACCGCCTCACTCCCATCAGAACAAAGTGCCGGACCTTGGGGGGCCGAGATTTCTCTCTCTCCCATGACACATCAGAACTCGGAATCACTTCAGAAATTCAAATCACAGCTCACACGCTGCCTGCATTATTTAGTTTATTCACCTGTCCCTTTGTAAAGCGTCTTTGATCGTCCAAAAGGCGGTATTTAGGAACGAAGTATGAGGTATTATTATCATTATTATTATTATAATGTTGATTGTTTCCCTGATTTTTTTCCTTGATACGTTTCTTTCATTTATTTCTGTTTTTGGTTTCAGCATTCTCATCGCTTTTCAGTGTTAGGGCTCCACCTCTTTTTTGTCTTCTTCCATCAAATCTGCAAAATTGATGGTGATTTTTCCCAAAAACATCAAAAATTAATTCCAAAATTGTAATTTGACTAACACTGTTTCTTTTCAGTTTACAAGACTCAAGCTTTGAGATATTTCTGAGTCCGAAAATGGAAGTCCAATTTATAATGGAAGATGTCATTGTACCGTCCCCTGTGTCTCTCCAGGTGAAGACGGGTGTGGTCATGAACATCCTGGGCATCATGTGTGTGTCTTTGGCCATGAACACTTGGGGCGTGGCCATGTTTGACCTGAACTCATATCCTGAATGGGCCCATTCCATCAACAGCACTGCAGCAGACACCAGCATCAAGATTTCAACTTTCCAAAACTCTACGCTCTGAAGCGCCTATGGAAAAGTCCGACACTAAAGCACATATGGACCAGTCTTGTGAAAAACTGGGATATTTTTGTATGGAAGAGGAAAAATGACTCAAATGATCCGAGTCGCTCCATTTTCCTGTTAGCAAACACAGGATTTTCTTTCTCGACACAAGAACATTTGGAAGAGAATCATAGAGCCATGGTTTTAGGTAATCCACTCTGCAGGTAGTGGTGGAAAAAACGTTGTTGTGAAAGTACAGCTAAAAGTACAGATAAAAGTAGAGCCATGAAATGTTGAATGAAGGCGTCACATGTATTGAGTAAAAGTTGCAGTAAAATAATTTATTATAAATGTTCTGCAGTAAAACATATTTAACACAAACCAATCATTTTGAATGTGTTGTTGATAGAAGAATTCATAATTTTATTTATTTTTGACAGAAATGACTATAATTTTATGTATATTATTCTTGCCTGCCAAAAACCTTCAGATGTGATGCTCAAAAATAAATCCTGACAATTTCAACGGCTCTTGAAATGTTTGAGGGCAAAAGTACTTTTTGTTACAGTCCAAAAATGTGGTGGAGACAGAACAAACAATTGGTTTAGATTTTCTTTGATGATTGCAATTCCAATGGGAGGGACTTTAATAATATTTGTTATTTCACCTAAACTGAGCTGGGTCGTGACATAATTTTTATTATTCTTATTTTTACATTGTGATTGTACTGAACTGAACAGAAACTGTGATCCGTTGTGCGTAAGTGTCATTTAACTATATCTATGTTTATACAAAGGAAATCAGCTGTGAAAAACATTGTACACTTTGATTAGTAGAAGTACAAACTGGATTATGATTCTTTGTGTCATTATTAAAGTGCCTTCTGTAACGACAGTGAGTGAAGCATGTATCTTTGTGAGTAATAATCAGAGAACTCCTGATTATTTGCTGCTTTTCAATACAACATTTAACTGCGCTTACACCTCACATCTTTTTACTGTGAAATATTAAATACATTTGTATAAGTGTGCTTTGGTCATGGTGGAGTTATGGCTTGTGTGTGAGACAGTGTGAATGTCACATGGGCCCCAGTGTAAACAAGAAGACGAGCCCAGCGTTATAAATTCCTCTGAAATGTTTGTTTGGGTTGTAAACTGTCAGCAGTCACACGCTTGACTTCAATGGTTAACCTGCTGCTCATGGAAACATCTCCCCGAGCTTAAATACTAAACGATTTATTTGGTTTAGTAAAGCATTCATGCACTATACAGTATGTGTGTGTATGTGTGTGTGTGTGTGTGTGTGTATCATATTTGTGTTTATTTACATATGAAAATGATTTGTAGATTGAATCAAATTAAAGGAAAAACACTAGCAACACACGAGTACTGCTAAATCATCTGATTTGACTTTGTCAGAGGACACACGTGATGTTGTGACACGTCTCTTTTCAGCACTAAGACTAAGAGGATCAACTCAGGAACAAGCACAGAAAAACCTCAAATTAGCAATATCTGACCACTACAAAAGAGAAAATCGCACAATGAACTGGAAAAATGAGGGAAGAACATAAATAGAAAATATGGATAAGTGGCACGATTGAAATCAGGAAGCGGGGCGCACGGACCATCACTGAAGACGAGGGGACTTTCACCTTGGCTCTCACTTGGGACACAAACATGTCAGATAATTAAGGCCCCCGTTTAGAGACGCTGCGGAGACGCTGCAAAGCAATTCGCAAAAACAACCAGGCTCCGTATTCGAAGTGCACAATGTACAATGAAACAATGTAGCAAAACTGAAAATGGAAACTGAAACTAGAGCTTTGCGTTGTTTCATTTGGACCGACAAAGGAGTGGAAATCTCCTCCGTGTGACGCTCAAAGCACACATAGCTTTAGTGTACCCACCGCCATTGTTCTCGTCTACTGAGCATGTCCAAATGCACGTGCGGGAAGCGGTCAGGTGCATGCATAAGTTCAATGCATTGAGTTTGTAAAAAATGTGTCGATTCCAGTCAGATGAAGTGATGTTGCAATATAATTGCTATACATATTAAATACCATATGGTGTATTTATTTTTGTAAAACTGTAAATGATAAATCCTTTGTGATATTTTGTGTTACTTGAATGAGAGATAAGGGGTAGGTTTATTATAAGTTCTTTGAACTTCTTCCTACTCCTTTTGAGCACAATAGTCTTGTTTTGTTTTCTTCTGTAAAATGTTTTAAATAAGTTTCTGCTCAAATAAATAAATGAAAGAAAGAAAGAGGTCATAGCAGCAGAGAATTCATACCTTTTTCTTCACACTGCTGTGAAACAGGCCGCTCAGCGTATCTGTTCTGTTCCACTCTGGAGGCTGTTTCTCAATGATTGCGTTTTCACCTCCATGTAAACAAAAGGCCAGTCCGACACCCAACTCTACTTTTGTCTTATCAGAAGAACCTTCTAAGCTTTGAACATAATTTATGAACTTTTAAATTTACTACACACAAGGGCCAAACATTTTAGCATGATTTAAAAATGTCTTTGCAGTGTTGAAGAAAGTAACATATTACTCATTATTGTGATTTGGCAACACCGAATGACAGAATAGTCATTCTTTTTTCCTATGACACTATGTGATGGTGTGTGTTTATTATCACGGGAGAACCAACCACCATGACCATGAGTGGACCCAGTTCCTCTTTGGGACTTCCTAATCCTCTGAGTCGGACAAGATGAAGCTTGTGCCTTTGACAGCGCTCACACCTGTCAGGTAGGAATTTGACCTAGTTTGATATTTTATCAATAATGTTAATATTTAATTACATTTATCATTGTATTGTCACTGCTCAGACCACAACAAAGGCAAGTCTAAATGAAAAGTCTTAAAATACAAGACTTTACGGGTGTAAAATTTAAATTGGCTTCAATGGGACCAGAGGAAGTATTGAGCAATATTGTAAATCATATATCTAAAATTTTTGAACATGGATAAATAAAACTGGTAATGTACTGATTTAGTCCTGAAATAAATTATACTGTGAATAATAATTAGCAATCAAACATATTTAATGGTTTTCAACTATTTTAAACACAATACCACATAGACTCTTTTTACAAATGACAACGACACAAATAACTTAAAAAGCAACAGCTTCATTTGCATGGCCCAGTAGGAGCGCATCTTCATTACACAGAACCATTATCTAACTTCAAATAAAGATAATAAACAATGTATGTGCGCGTTGTCTGGTCTTTTGTCAGGTGTGAAAACATCACGTGGAAGTCCTTTTGCGGTCTCTGTTCTGAAACGTTGTCTTTGACCCACTTTTACAGCTTTTGTAACTGATTATCATGTGAGCTGTTTGAATAAGGATAATTATTACAAAAGCGAGTTTTTGAAATAAAAAAGTCACAGGACATGCATGTCAGTTTGATTGCCCTCTTCACAATTGTATGTCTTCCTTCCACTCATCTCACTCTTTTCCAACTACAATTAAAAATAATGTGATATTGAGGGGGCACCATTTATCAAGTTAAAGATGGGCACCTACTTCTGTGAGCAAAATAGATGTTATAGCCTTTCCTGCAATGTTACAACATATGACTTCTCTATTAGGACAGGAAACAGTCTCAATCATTTCAACTTTTTTTGAAGAATAGTCAATGAAAGTATCTTTATATGAACTGTCAAAATGTGTGTGACTGAGAAGTTTGTGAGAAAAGAGATTTTCTCATGGAACCTTTTTCCAGTGAATCAAAAATATTGTTGTGCTCTTTCGTAGAACTGTAATCTCTTTGTCATCTCTTTAAAAAAAATAAAATTTAAATGTTAGACTTTTTAAACATATATATCGCCCTGCAATCGTAATCTCAAATTTGATCAGAAATATTATGCTGCTAATGTACATATGTAAACATACTGCTGCTAATGTACAGATGTAAACATACTGCTGCTAATGTACAGATGTAAACACACTTCTGCTAATGTACAGATGTAAACACACTGCTGCTAATGTACAGATGTAAACATACTGCTGCTAACGTGTACAGATGTAAACACATATTGCTTGCACTAGAATACACAGTGCTTTTTGTTTTATTAAAAATTAGTATAGCTCTTGTTCACATGTGCTGTGTGCTCCTCTTTCCTATACTCTTCGGTAACTTTTGATGCAACACTGAAATTTCCCACTGTGGGACGTATAAAAGATCTCTTAATCCTAATCTTAAATATCTCTATTAAATATTTCCCCAAAATGGTGAATCCCTTTCATAACTTTACATGTTTATAATTTGCAGACGACCATTGAGCAGAACAGCCCATTATCTGTGGTCCGTGTACTGCTGTCCTGCCCCTCTCGGCTCAGACCTCCTCACTCTCCTGTGCCTCTGCTTAACTCTCTCCATCACCACTGGATCCCTGCTTTACAACTGGCTCTGCAGGACTCTCAAATACTCCCATGATGCCTCAGTCCAGACCGCCAGCATCTACAGCGCGGCCATGTTTGTAGTCTGCACCCTCTGCCACCCTCTCCGCTGCATCCTGACCATGACCCTGCCCACGGCCTGCACCAAAGAGGGACGCAAGCTCCTGATATCGGCCTCCTGTCTTCTCCTTGTGGTCAATGTGCTTCCAAACATCAGCTCAAACATCGGGGCTGTCGTATTCATTCTGAAATGCACCACGGAAGGCTTCACACGCACTCTTCTCAACTCATCTGAGCCCTTGAACAAAGCCAAGAACGACTTAGTGGAAGAAACCATCAAAGTGGCAAAAGATGATTTGAATATTGTCAGCAATTTACGAAATTTCGATCAGTACACTCGCATTGATGTGTCGGAGGTGAAGAGCAGGTTTGCAAAGATGATTGGACAAATACATATCAGCTTTTCTTACATCAGGGACACGCTTAAAGACTGCAAGCTGTTTTCAAACCGAATTCTTGCTGCTGTTTTTGTGGCTTTACTCATTTATGAATCAGGACGGTATCTAAAATCCTACCTCACGTCACTGCAGTTTGACAATCCTTATAAGAAAACAAATGAATGTGAAAGTACAGCTCCAAGGACATTGAAAAGGTGCAAACTGTCCGGACGTGAATGCACCTCGTGTTTGATCACTCTCATTCAGGTGACGTTGTATTTCATAGCCATGGCTTCAACAGTGGCTTTGGACTATGTTGTGTTTGGCATAGTGGAGGTGATGGTGCCCTGGCTGCAGGACTTTCCAACAACATCTGCAAGCATCGACGTGGACTTTAAGGTAACTATTTCCTTACCTTAAGCTGCACTAACTCACTTTGTGAAATTTTTGAATGTGAGCGCTGGCCTCGCTCTTCTGCTCCCCCTCCCTGCACTCACGAAGCTATCGCCCCCCACTACCCCCCTCCCACTCAGCCTGTGCTCATGTGCTAATTGTTTACGGAGCTCACGTCTCACAATATGGATCGCACATTTTAACGTGGATGGCGTGACCATAGAATGATAGAACAACTTCGCTGTGTAAGCAGTAATCGGTAACGAAGACACAGGAAGTTTCAGGTTAGCCTCTGCCGCTTGTTGTGCTAACTCAGTTGCCTGTGCTAACAAGAGACCTGTAGCTTTTCTCAAGAAAGTGGGGGCCAGTGGTCTGCTGTGATTGGTCACAATCTGGTCCCAAAACAAAGTCTCTTCTTTGTTGCACGAAAACTCGATCTAAAATAAAATGACACGCCAGAACAAATCGGCACTACTTGTTCTTCAAAAGGACGTATATCCCAATGCATTGCATGGATATGGATTGAATTTTTGTAATGAATACAAAAATAAAGTGAGGTAATGCAGCTTTACTTCCGGATGGCTGGTATCAATGTGCTTGGTGTCCTCCCTGTAATTTCATAGAAAAATGGGAAAGTTTAGGCTATTTGTTAATTCATTATTTTTTTATACGATATACGTTTTTGTATATCTGTTGCATTTGTATTCATCCAAAGACTACTTTTCTACAAATAGTTTTCATCATCCCTGAATCCCAGAGTCTCGCACATTTCTGTTGAGATTGACAGGTCAGCTAGCCCCAAAGCACAGATATTCTATTGTGTTTTAGTAATTGGTGGGAAAATTCCCTAAATGTGTCTAAAGGCGTTTATTGTCTAGTTAAGCAGTTATGATTTCTAAAACAATAGCCCAAAAGACATGAATATATATAATCAGCCGCCATCAACCACATTGAATTATTTTTAATTGCTTCTTTTCCACACTTAAAACTGTTTTTCATTGTTGTGTATCATTCATTCATTGAAGCATCACCTTTTTTAAATCAGTATGAAGCTTTAAACAACAGTCATTATTTATCAAGTCTTTAAGCCTTTACTATATGTTTGCCTTTACTTCAGTTACTGAATGACAAACATGAAAAAAATGAATGAATGAAAATCAAATGTACATCCTTAATCCCTGGCTTTCAAAAATGTCAATAGGCCTATTTCTCCCAAGAATCCAAATCTCTTCAGAGTGATGCAGTTGGTGTGAAAATAGATAATAATTGTAGAGCGTGCAATTAAAATAAACAGGCTCCAAATTATAACATTACATCAATAATATATGACCATAAATCTGCCAGTTCAACCATTCTGCATCGGAATGAAAAACTGTTTTGTTATTGTTTTGTCAAATTTGTGTTCAAGAAAAGCTGAAACTTTTTTTAATGATACTTTTGCAAATGAACAATTCAAATGTGACTCCAATCTAAATATGTGTTGTGTGCGTGTGCATGTGTGTGTGTGTGTGTGTGTGTGTGTGTGTGTGTGTGTGTGTGTGTGTGTGTGTGTGTGTGTGTTTAAGGTGAAGTGGTTCCCTCCAGTTTTCTGCCTCATCCCGAGCTCGTGCGTCACCCATGAGCTCACGAGCTTCCACCGTGATTACAAATGGAGCTTTGCGCCTGGGACGTCACTCTGTGAAGTCACCACGTCCCGTCCCAGCGCCCCGGTCACTCTGATGCTCATGATTCTGTGGCTTTTCAGCTATTTCCTAATCTTTGTGGAAGTTTACGCTGGACGCATGCGCCGTAAGATCTGCGCGTCTTTCTTTGGAGCGCGCGAACAGAGACGCGCGGCTCTCGGGGCTCGTGCACTTCATGTGTGTGTGGTGACGCTGTGATGTTTCCATATGGGCTGCCTTGCATGTTAATGTTTCCTGTGTGATCTTGTTGACTGTTTTCTCATAAATACGGTCTGTGGTTGACCTTTCATTCGAGTCATGGTTTTAAAAGCGTCATAGTAAAGCACATTTATTTTGAACCTGCGGTAAAACCCACCAGAAACACAAAACATCTATAACTCTGGCGTGTCAAACACGTGGCCATTGGCATAATATCTATTTCTTACTATATTAACTTGCAGCATTGATTTGTTAATGTGTGATGTTAATTATGTCATATATAATTCTTATAAAGCTATACTTTTGTCAAGAAAATTACCAAATTATTAATTATTTTCTAAACTTTTTAATCAAATAATTTTAATCATGCAATCATATCAGTCAATAACCAGCCTTTCCCTTATGTCCAGTTTGTGTTCAGTCCAAACATAATTCATTTTGTGACAACCAGAAAAATGTCTACAGAAAATAACTCAATGTAATGATAATGTTATAAGTGGATAAAATTACAATGGCATAAAATATAGGAAAAAGCACATATTCATAAGATTAGCTTGATAAAAAAAATAAAACCACAAATAAAACTCTCGGGAGGTGCTCTAGCTTTAGCTTCGTGTTAACTCTGTGGTTTTAATAAGCTTCATTGTGCTGTACGTTTTATTTATGAATTATTCTTGTTTCATTTTTGTACGAAATTTTCTCACAATGGGACGAATAAAGCATCTCTTAATCTATTTTGAAACCACTGACATGGTTTATAAGTGTGTTTTCAACTAAGCTCCACTAAGTGTCACTGTTGAGCCAACACTGAACACACACTCACTGGTGACTCACAGAAGTAATTTGACTGACAGAAGCAAGGCAATCCTTATGTACGACAGCTTCACTCTTTACGGTCACAGCCGCCTCTCCTGGATCTGTAGGGTGTTCTCAGAGGTCTCCCATCACAACCAGTCTCTTTTCTGCTTAGCTTCTCAAATTCTGCCGGGATTAGGATTTTCATGGCGTCACATTATTTGGCTGTTAGTGTTACCTCAACTGTAGACTGGAACCAGCAACTTTGTGAATACAAAAATCATTTCAGAGTGAATTTTATTGTAGCCATGCTTTTGGCACACCTGTCTTCACAGTGTCCTAATTCTCTTTTTATCTCGGCTAAGGAGAAGTTCTCAAACAAATGTAAAGATTTTGTGGACAACATTTGGTCTGTGAGGACAACGTTTTTAAGTACTGTTTTTGAGATAATCTTATAATTAATTGGAGAAAACAAAGGTGTTATGTTCATATTTTGTGTTCAGTCAGTGCAAAGTATATATTTGTTTTGTGGCATTGATATACTTTTCAAAGATGAGCCTAAATTAGCATAATCAAATGTTATGCAAAACAACATTCAATCTAGTGCATGTTTGCAGTGATGCTTGTTTTGTTCAAAAGTTCAATCACTGTATATAGAAAGAGACTATCTTCATTGCAATGCCTATTTTTAATTTACCTGTGAAAAATCTCCTGTCTTCTTTAAGCTTGGCTTATAATTCCCATAAGGCTTTGGTTTATTTTTAGTCTGAATAATAATAGAAAACCTCCCTGTCATCTATTTTTGAGGCGCCTCATGATTGTCCTGAATTCACAGAGGGACCGTGTCCTGTCAAATACACATGTATTATTCATATGTCTGTGATGTATCACTGTAATTAGTGCAATGTGTTGTTCTCAGATATATTATGAGATATTATACGAGACAATTGAAGTAGTAATATAGTAGAACTCTGTTTTATTCTGCACTTCATCTGAACCCTCAAAGATGTGTTCTATTGTTGTATTCAACAGTATTTTAATTGAAGTCCTCACTTGCTGTGGCAGTGTTAATCTTATTGATGGCACAATCATTCTACGTGTGTGTGTGCATGTGTGTGTATGTGTGTGTGTGTGTGTGTGTGTGTGTGTGTGCATGTATGTGTGTGTGCACGTATGTGTATGTGTGTGTGTGCACGTGTGTGTATGTGTGTGTGTGTGCTCTGATAATTCAAATGTGAGATTATTGACAATACATTACAAATAAATAATCCTCTTATAGGACTAACACAATACCAGGTTTTGTTTTAATCAGATATAGGTGAAATCAGGTGTAAAGCAATAACCTAAGAATCCCAATGAAATGGTTTCACCGTCTACAGTCGAGGTCATTATGTACAGTGCCACAAAACAACTTCAGACCGACCCCACTATTACGGCTCTTGTTTCTAATAATCAGCACAATTACCCCTGCTCACCAAATCCCTGAAGTCTGTTCCTGCAGATGGAGATTTATCGCTTCTGTGTGGCTCCGGTGATTGCAGCTTTCACACCGGCAACACACAGCTGCACAGGTGCTGATGCGACCAGAACGAGAGCGGACTCAGAACAACTATTGATTTTGTCTGTCAGGTATTGTGAATGTAATAGAGTGGAAGAAGTAGGAGAGTGAGTGTGAGAGAGGCTGAGAGAGACAGCAGGAAAGGGAGAAAAGGGGGAGACTGATGAGCAGTGGCGTTGCAAGGGTCTCCCAGGGTCCCATGCATAAAGAGTGGTCCATGCAGCAGTGTTACATGATCACCCAGGACTGGCCCAAGATAATTCCTGCCTTTGTTGTTTGGTCTATTGCAAAAAGAAACAACAATTTGAAGCAATCAGCAGATTTTCAGAATGGTGTTGGGACTAACCATCAAGATATGCCAGTCCACGACCCAAATAAGTAAAAATAAACAATGTAAATTACTCTATGTTTTCACAAATGATTGTTTATGAGCCTTAAATAATGCTAAAGAAAATGACAAAAGATGCAGAGGTCTGGACTGTGACACATGTTTTCTTGGTACACAGGATAAACTACACGACCAGAGTTTCACAGCGTTCACATGGGGTTATACCAACGCAAACATACAATTTCTCCCCTCAGCCTCTGCCGCCATGTTGCCAATAGATAGATTTGCTTCGGCCCTCAGAGAACCACAACATTAAGTGGAAAAAGTCAACTTTTGATGACTGTTGTAATGACAAGCTCAGTTTTCACACATTTGCTTAAAAAGTCTTATTAAAAAGTCCATATTTCTTCCTTTCAGACTGCATTAAATAAAACAGTATATCTCAAATGTTTATATATCATGTATATGTCATTCAGTGAGTAAGTAGTCTGCGCCTTTCGCGTACTAGAGTCACAAAGCGCTTTACAACTGGTTTTTTGGGCATTTGTCTCTCCCTCCACACAGATATGGGAGCAGGGTCGCCATACAGGAGGCTGACTTTCATATTTGAAGGTGTGTTTTATCCCGAGTTTCATCTTTAGCCCATATTCAGTAATCCAATATGGTCCTTATACTGTTCATTATAATAGGATGGTGATATTGTCAGGGGTTTCATGTGTGTCCATTTCTCAGAAGCTTACAGCAGGTTGTATTTGAATCAGGGGCTGTCTTGTCCGGAATGCGCAGGTCCAGATGCATGATTTCTATTTATGTTTTTCAGATATTTTTAATTCAGACTGTTTAGTCTTCTGTAAATGTTTTGCTCCACCAACTGAAGGAAATGATAAGGACGAGAGTTTCACAGTGTTCACGTGGTTTTAAACCAAGGCAAACTACAGAGGCTCCCTGAAGCATCAGTCATGGTGTCAGTAGATAAGCTTTCTTCAACCTTCAGACCATAACATCACGTGGAAAAGACTTTGCAGAGGTCAGCAGTATTTGTTTTTTGTAGAGTTCAATGTATTTTGATTTTCTTAAATCAATAGCATTTTTATCTAAGAATATTTCATTTGATTTTAAATGTATATATTTTTTTATTGTAGTGGTAATGTTTCCCAGGAGAGGCTCATGACCCACTTGAAATGTTCCCGCGACCCTCTTTTGGATCCTACTCCATGAGAATTCTCACTGTTGTGTATCTTTCATGCAATTTTGCCACACAAAAGTCCTTCTTTCTCCACATCTCTCCCTTCTACAGCCCAAGACCCTCATTTCCTTCCATCAACGTACTGTAGGTCCCCACCTCCCCCACCGCACTTGAAGAAATACTAATGCATCTTTGACCTTCAACATTACCATTTCGAATACTTCCAGTCATTACTTATTGTGCATCCCACAATGCCACATTTGGCCCTCTCCAGTTCAGTGTGCACACTTCTGCCTTGTTCTGTATTGTCTAGATTGTATCACTTAATTAGAAAAAAATGCAGAAGAAATGGAGAAAAAATAGTGGTGGAGAGAGAGGAGGGGGAGAGAAAGTGCGATGGTGGAGTAATGAAGCAAAAGAGAAAGCAGAGATGCACTGGACACTGGAAGGACCACTTGCTTTTGTGCTCTGCTGATGGGAAAGCCTGGTGAGATATGGTAAGTTATAATTCCACTAACTTATGCACTGATTCAGTATTCGCACACACATGCGATTTAGTTTCAAATTTTACAACATATCTCACTGAAAGAATGTTGAAAATGAGTGTAGAAGTGTATGTTTGGTGTCCGCAGCTAAATCCAGTAAAAGTCAAAGTACTCTCAAAATTACTGAATTACATATACGGTACCTGACAGATTAAACACCAAATTAAAAAAACTAAACTTCCTTCTTTTTTTTTTTTAACGAGAAGCCAAATATTAGTCATGCATAGCAGTAGATCTTAAATTGTTAAAGTTGTGTCTTCACATACAAACAAACAAATTTGAATCAAGGAAAAGTGTCTATTTTTTGTATGTATTCTGTAAAACTTTGACTTATAAGTAAAGTTGTGTGATTGAATTGAACTGTGGCATGGACCTACATCAGCAGTGGAGGCTTTTTTATATTTCAATACAGTATTTGGCACAAAACACGCCTAAATAAGTTAAATCAGGTCGAATAACACAATAAATCACGTGGGCTGTTTTGACACATATACATAATAATACCTGCTTTAAATGTTTTTCGCCAATGGGAAGCTGTGAGTTGATTTCATGCCTATTTTGTCGGGTCTGTCTAAAAAGTAAAACATTAAAACTTTACTCAAGCAACATCCCCAAAACGTCTTATTTTATGTGCAACTTGATCACACACTTTTGCTTCCTATGCTTTCACAGATTTCGCACTGAAGAACCATGGAGAACATCACATCCACTTTACAGGACTTCCCGCGGGGTCTGAACTTAACCAAAATGCCTCAGAAACCGCTGGAAGAGCAGGTCGTCACCATCCTCCTCACTCTGCTGATCTGCGGAGTTGGTATCGCCGGTAACATTATGGTAGTTTTGGTCGTTCTCCGCTCAAAACACATGGTCACCCCAACTAACTGCTACCTGGTCAGTCTGGCTGTGGCTGACCTGATTGTCCTATTAGCTGCTGGTTTGCCCAATATCTCAGACGCGGTTGCTTTTTGGATTTATGGCTATTCCGGTTGCTTGTGCATAACTTATCTTCAATACTTGGGCATCAATGTGTCCTCTTGCTCCATTTTGGCTTTCACAGTGGAACGGTACATCGCGATATGCCACTCGATCAAGGCCCAGTTCATCTGCACGGTCTCCAGAGCTAAACGAATCATTGCCGGGGTTTGGCTTTTCACGTCTCTCTATTGCGTCATGTGGTTTTTCCTGGTGGACTTGAACAAAACGGTCTATTCGAACGGTGTGGTGGTGACTTGTGGCTACAGGGTGTCCCGCAGTCTCTATATGCCTGTGTATTTCCTGGACTTTGCTCTGTTCTATGTGGTCCCGCTGTTCGTGGCTATGGTTTTGTACGGACTCATAGCCAAGATCCTCTACATGAGTCCGCTGCCCCCCCACCTGAACGACAGGGGGGGGTCTGTGCACCGCTGCGCCAATGGGACCAGTAAGAACAGCAAGGGGACGATGACGGCAAGAAAGCAGGTAAGAAACAGGGAAGACATACTGTAAGTTGTATGTGGAGGACACAGATACGTACACACACAAACACACACACACACAAACACACACACACACACACACACACACACACATACACGTTTTTGTTACCTGGTGGGTCCCTTTGACAAGGCCGTTCAGAATGGGACCCATAGACATAATCTTTTTTTACTGGGACTACTTTAAGTAATACAAAACAGTCAATAGAAACCAAACAACTATTTTAAAGGAATTTTATTTTAGATTTTGTTTTCGAATTGCAGTGATTCTATTTTTGACATAGAATTTAATGCCACTCCATGTCCGATGTCTAAGGTCATCTGGTGATGCATTAATGCAGGCCAGGCAGTGAGACTTCCCAGGGACCTTTCCAGTCTGTATGAAAGGTGTCATGGTCTTCTCCACAGCCTTCACCTCAGATGCAGACCATGGCTTTCTTACACGTTCTAGGGAGAGAAATAAAAATATATTAGCAATATACACTCCCAGGGTGAGGACCAAGCAGCCTGGCTGTAATCCCCCACCTGGTACACTTACCAGAAGGGGCACTGCCACTACCATGGGGTGCATCTGGATGAATGGTTGAAGGTTCTCCGCTTGAAGTTTCTTTTAGCCCGTCCGTTTGTGAGAGGATCTCTATTGCTCTCCCTGTCGCCACAGAAAATAAAAATACAAGTGGCCTTTAGGGGAAAAAAATCATACATATTTTAATAATATCAAGAATTACCTTCAGGCTCAATTTGTATCTGGTCGAGGCTCTTTCCTTCGAATTCCGTCACTCTTCCCTGCTCCATGGCCATCAACACTTTGCTGATTTTGGCCAGCTCCAGTGTCCCCTCTGGTAGTCTGTAATATTGCCTGTGGATGCGAATGTCATGGCCGAGGAAGTTGGCAAGTATGTCCATCTCATTCTCTTTCATATTGAGAACTGTAGACATAGTAGCTATGTGCTTTCTAAGTTTGGTTGAGGATAGCATCTCTGGATGCACCGCACCACATTCTTTGGCTACCTGGCGTAGGGAGTCTGATCCCCTGATGTGGGTGTCTGCGCCCGGGCGGGAAAAGAAGTATGGGTTATGGTCAGAGATGGAACAGGCCCTTCTGTTCTCCACCAGCACCTCCATCGAAGCAATCATTTCAGGAGTCAAAAGAACCGGCACTTTCCGACTTCTTTTCCCTTTAATTTCAATGCGTTGAAAATGCTGACACAGCTTTTTCTCAAGTTGGGACAGTCCCAGAGCAATGTCAGAATGGATCCCAGTCTTACTTCTTAAGGTAAAGGCTGTCAGTGGCATCTTTGAAACCTCACCTTCCCTTCTTCGATTGAAAATGATGACCTCACAAAGAGTCAAAACTGCCAGTTTAGACCAATGCTTAGACGTTGGCTCACTTATTAGGGTTTGCACATATTCAGGTCGACATACCTCAATATGTGCATGCATGGCTCTAACGTCCTCAGTCAGAGGGAGCAGGTCCGGAGTGTTCCACTTGGCTTGCCGGAGGGTCTGTAGGGCAGCAGAAGAAACACAGACGTCCCACCTCTTCTCAAAAAGCAGCCGGCTTCGTTGGAGGTTTTTAATAAATAGTTCATCAACACAATGCTCCATTTTTGAGTCACATTCAAGAATATCTGCTAGCTTTCTGAGGCTATGGCCGAGTTTGAGGGCCAAGGATGGAGTCTTGTATTGATTTGTTTCCTCATCATATCCAGCCACAGACCTGACTGCATCAATCACATGGTTAAAGTTGGAAGGAATAAAGAAATCCTTAATTGTTTTCAGTTTCCCTGCGGTTTTTGCTTCGTTAATTAACCTACCGACTTCTCTCATTTTCTGCCTAATGTAATCATGCTTAGTCTTATCATGCCCGTGTTTTAAGTACAGGTGCTCTCCGAGTCTCAGAATCCCCTTTTCTGCTTTGACAACACCCGTGACCTCATCCTGATGCATTGCCGAAATTAAAGACCACAGCTTTTTGCTGATGCCCTCCGGTACAGGCTGGGCTAGGGAGCAGAGGGACTGGACCCTACTTCTACCTGGTTTAGCCTGGGCATCTTTCTGTGAAAGCCGGCACCTGGCCACATGCCTCCACAGCGACTTTCGCTTAAGCAATGCCCCACAGTCTATACAGTGCAAAAACTCACTGGATTTAACTGGGGAATTTGGCTGTTTAGCTGGGACTAAAGTTCCAATGCCGGCCTTTAAAACCTCAAAATTGTGCTCACGGTTTCCACTATTCCTGATCAAATCAAACTGAAGTTTACGTGCTTTAGATTTCACAGGTAGAGCCAATGCTCTGGCTACGTCACTTTCATTTCCATGTTTTCTAGTCAAATGACGGGACATTTTGTGGCAGGACATTGAACAGTAGAGGCAGAAGTGTCTCTTGCTGTAAACTCGCCCCCCATTTTTCTTCTTTTGCAGCTGCATGATAACAATCTTATTTGCCTTTGGTTCGTCACTTTCCGAGTCTTGAAGAAAAGTGTTTTTGATTTTTCTTTTTCCATACTTTTTTACAGGTTTCTTCTTGACAGTTAAATCGTCAGAATCTGAGTCGACTTCATCAATTAGGGACTCTTGACTAAGCTGCACAAACAACAAATAATTTGTAATCATTCTATATAACAATTTGAAGTCATGACTTGTAGTCAGCACTTACCAGTGGTTTGTAAGCGTGCGCTTCAGTGTGCTCCTCCATGATTTCTTGCAGCCTAATGAACCACACACTTGCACCTTTTTCTAGCCTGACACCTGATTTCCTCTGTTGTGCTGCTCCATGATTGGCTCCAGCCTGCTGGACTGAAATTGCCCCAGTGTGCCCCTCCTTGATATCCCGCAACCCACCACCAGGGTTCCGACACATAACACACTTTTTTCAGGAAAGTAAACCTCCAGGGGTCCTTTCCATATTTTTACAGAGACTGCATAAGGACCGTTAGAAAAGCATTACCCATTGATTATTAAGCTTGGACCAGTGGGGTCCGGTGTTCGGGCCCCACCACGTAAAACCAGTCCCCATGACGTGAGTGGAATCTCAGGTTATGGAACCCACCAGGAGTTGAAAACAAGTGCACACACACACACACACACACACACACACACACACACACACACACATACAATGACCAGAGCAGTGTTTGCTCATTTCTCCTCAATGTTGTTTGTATGTATAGAGCAGGCATGTCAAAGTCAAATACATCAGAGGGCCAAAAAAAAAATTTTCCTATGCGCCGAGGGCCGGACTGGTTCAATGTTTCTCAACATCCAGAGGCAGTGCCGGTGACACCTGTTGGCTCGATAAAATATGCTCCAAAGCCAATCCTCATAATGTACATATTAGATGTAATAGACATCTGAGGACATGAAAATAGTAAAAAAAGAAAAAGCTCAAACTTGGTGAAATGTAAAAGAGCAGTCTGGACCTCTTTTCGGGGCGTTTTTTGATTAAATCTGAAGAATGGATTATACTTTGGGAAATACAAGTGAATGTTCTTCTTCAATGAACAGTTACGGAGAGAAAGACTAAGCAAGGATGGGGAAAGTCTAATTTGTTGGAGCAGCAGAAGACGAAAGGTAAAAAACAAATACAGACCAATTTATTTTGTGCCCATATTATGCGTTATATCTTTTTAATGCAAAGTCCGATATCGTTTACACTTACATATAAATATAGCTGAGAAAATAACCTTTAAAATGATATATAGCTTGTGGCTTATGAAGTTCAAAATACATCTGCTATTGCCAGCAGATGTATTTTTTTCCTCGTTTGCTCCCGCCGGCGGGGGCTAGCGAGCTTAAGGGGTCAATACATTGCCTCAATGGCAGGCAATGTCCCGGGGGCCATAGATAATTCATTCGCGGGCCGGATTTGGCCCGCGGGCCTTGACTTTGACACATGTGGTATAGAGTTTGAAGACGGAAAAGTATTTGTACAAGATAAAAGGTTAATAAAAGGTAGACTGGCATATCAAACAAAAATTCTATCAGATTTGTTCTCTTTGCTTTGAAACGTTCAGGCATCGTTAAAGTTTATCTCATCTTATCTTGACATTTGAATGTGGACGAGTGGGCATGTTGTTATCAAATGTTTTATCTACAGAACAAAACACAAAAACACACATGCACACTTTTATGGAGTATATGGGCCTTATTATTTTGACTTCATTGAATTTTACAAGAGATGTTATTGTCACTAGATTTCTGAAGTCCGTTCTATTACCTTCCAGGCGGTACAATCACATTAGTCCAGTTCTCAGGTCTCTGCACTGGCTTCCTGTGACACAGAGAATAGACTTTAAAGAAGCTCTGCTTGTGTACAAGTTTCTCCATGGCCTCTCCCCAAGAACATCTGCGACATGTTAGTGCCATGTGAACCAACTGCTCTGAGGAGCACAGGGACTAGCCTCCTGCTGGTGTTCAGGGTCAAGACTAGACATGGGGAGGCAGCGTTTCAGATTCATGCAGCTAAAATCATTCCTGAAAATGTGAGACAGGCGTCTACTGCTTGCGTGTACAGTACAACTGAAGGACTGTATCTTTACTCTTTTTAATGCACTGTGGTTATTTATGATTTTAATCCTTGTGTGGTTTTAATTCCTTTGTGTGATCTTAATGGTGGTTTTTAATGCCCTGTTTTGAATGTTTATGATTTATGTGAGAGGGGCTATGAATCACTTGGTTTTACCTTGTGTGGCGCTCTACAACCAAAGGTTGATTTATTCATTTATTTATTTAGACATTTATTTAAAGAGTAATAACCCCATTATATGCATCATCTCGTTTTCGTGGGGGTCCTCTATAGACAGGTTACAGCAGAGTAGTCATTTGATGTACAACAACAGCAAGAAACAAAATGATAAAAAGAAATTGATTGATTGATCTAGCAGAGGGCCTTGATCATCATCATTAAATCATGTTGTGATCAGTTACAACACTATATCTGCTTTGTTTCAGTTCAGCGTTACATTCCAACAGGAAAACCAGCAGCTTAAATTCAAGAGCAGCCTATATGTGGACAGAAATCTCTCTCTTTTTTAATGCAATGCAGACTATAGTATACACAGGTGTGCACGTACCATATGTGTTTGCATTGTGCACATTGTAAATTTACCATGTTCATTTCCCAGATCACCAAGATGCTGGCCGTGGTGGTGGTCCTCTTCGCGGTTCTGTGGATGCCCTATCGCACTCTGGTGGTGGTCAACTCCTTCATCCAGCCACCGTTCCACAACTCCTGGTTCCTCCTCCTTTGCCGCATGTGCATCTACTGCAACAGTGCCATCAACCCAATCATCTACAACCTCATGTCCCACAAGTTCAGAGTGGCTTTCAAGAAGCTGTGCGCCTGCTCCCGAGAAGAGGACAAGACCGCGGAGATCCACACTCCCATTTTTTTTACTGTCCAGAGGGATGTGTCCAATGAAAGCCACCTGACCTTGACGGAACCAGAGGAGGATGAGGATGGACAGCCGAGCATGAGGAAGATGCACAAGCGTGATAAAAGTACAATGGCAGCGTTATATAATCAGTAGATAGGGGATACTGAATGATTGGCCCACGTTATGAGCGCAGCTGTTATATATAAATTGATATGTAAAAACTTGTTATGAAAAAGGACTATGGGACCTTCCCTTTCATTGCTCAGACAGCTACCTTAAAGCTGGGGTGCCCACATTTTTCATAAATTAAACATGGAATCACAACACATTTGTATCCTTATGAGAAAAAGGCAGAGAGTCACTAATTCGGGCGTTCTGCTCTCCCAAAATTCCATCCGATGGGCGGGGGAGCGACTGAATTTTGCGTTGCATTATGGGTAACACTTGCCTTCGCAACTTCCGGTTCTCTCTGCCCGGCGCATTTTCTCTAAATGGTTGAGTGTTTTCGTAATTTTCTGTATGCAAATACATTCCCGTCTCTAACTAGTGGCATATCGCGCAAATCATCCGTCCAATTCACATTCTTCCCTCTTAGCTGAACTTCATTCTCATTGTTACCATCTGTCACTCGCACACACAGCCGTTTTCATTCACTCTGCTCGCTGTCATCTTCTTCTAAATCTTCATAAACACCATCCGCTCGTTGAACTAGCAACAACAATTCCTCCTTTCGTTTTCCCACACTGCAAATACCCTTTCGCTTCAACCTTTCACGCAATTCAGGCACTGTCAATCGTTTGTTGTTTTCGTGAGCCATATTCGCCATTGTATGAAATCAACCGGAAGTGAACTGGGCAACAAACGGTGTCATTTTTTGATCACAGCGCCGCTCAGTGGATGAAATTTTGGGAGAGCAGAACGCCCGAATTGACGCTTTGGGCTCAGTGAGGGTGGTCCCCTCTTTGTCACTTTTCTGGAAAAATTGGATCTAAAGATGTTACAGGCCAGGAAACTAACGAAGAACCAAACTTGAGGGTGAGAACCTTGTGAGGTAGATTTTATTACTAGATTATTATTAGGTTCATCTTTGGTGGTTTGAAATGTAGATATCCCAGCTTTACCAGAATTTGTATTTAACACAATAACAAAATGGCAACAGGGAAGCTTTTGTCAATATGTATATTTATTCAAGTCTGTTAATGCAAACGTGACAAGCATGAATGTAAACAAGCCAGATTATAGTCATCCAGGGTCATAAAAAGGGATGCAGTAAAATAATATATATATATAGATATATATACCGCACATATACTCACTTTAGTGCACACGGGTCATGCTGATAAGGTAATCCAACGTTTGAATAACAGCTCATTTTCTCCTTGGTAGTAACGTTAAATTACTCTCACAAAACAGGTTAGCGACAGAAAGGCACAGATGTGAGACAGGTGCAGACAGATGGTCTATACACACTTGACCAATAAACTACTTTTTACTATTTAAATGAAAGCATTAACAAGATGTTTATTTAAAAACATGTTTAGTACATTATAAGTAATAAAATAACAGAAAAAGATTTGAAAAGGGAGTTGTATGAAGCAAACTCGTACCTGTTCAGTACAGTGACAGAATACATTTTGGAACAAAAACGTCAAGAAGAACGATACAAAAGCAACACAGTGGAACAGTAACAAACTGTAATATCGTACAAAAACACACACACACACACACACACACACACTCACACACACACACACACACACACACACATGCACTTAGACAAGACACAGGCCCAAACACTCTCCGACCCTACACCTCTCGCCAACTAAACAGCTGAAAGCATCACTCTTTCTTCACCATATTTCCTCAGTAATACTTTTTAAAAATAGTTTTCTTTAATGCAATCAGGTTTAAAAATGTATTTAGAAATACACACAGGTGTTTAAGAGGTCACAATTTATTGAAAGTAGTGAAATTATGCTGAGAATCCCTATCATGGAATGGTTAAAGGTTAAAATAAACTTGGACCCACAATTGATAAATCCTCATCTCAAAACAACCTTACTGTGAATATAGAGGAGGTGTGGTGTGATAGTGTGAATGTAGAACATGAAACCAACTTATTTACTTGTGTGTGTTTATTTTGCACAGTGAAATAATGCGTATCATTTGTTCAGTGTGTGTAAACAGACGAATCACGCCCTTTTGCTTCTGTTGCTGGAACTTAAGCAAAGAGTATAGAAGTACCAAGAGGCAAAATTCAATATAACGTTGTCCTCAACAAACAATAAGCTGCAGCACCTTTGACTGAACTCAACACAATTGTCATAGAATAGATAGGCTACAGGTCAGCAGCAAACTGGATACTTATTTTATTATGTCAATAGCCTTAATTAACACAGGTTTAATAATGCACAACAAAATAAATATTGCTTGTTTTTAGTGAAACACTTTTGTCAGAGCACAAATCTGTAAGACATTTATTTACAAAAACAGTCAACAAATGGCTTTTAGTGACGCCGCACACACACAGCAGCTGTCAACAGTGTATTCATAAACTTTATTTTTGTCTAAAGAAACGCGACTCGGCTTCAATAAACTCTGTTCCGTTTGCGTCGTGACTGCTGGATACATACATTTAAAAAAAAATAGTTTATTCTTATAGCGTCTGCAAAAAAAGGAAAAAAATGGGATGAGCCAAATGTTCCATCGTACATTTCAACACCTGCTGACGTTAATGTTCGCTAGCTCCTGTCAATTACAAAAATACAGAACTCCTTTTATGACAAATACCTCTGGACCTTTGAATCTATGAAATGCTGTTGTCCTTTAGCTGCAATTGATGAAGAGCACTGTTGTAATTGTTTCCACTTATTTTCAGACATAATGTTATTGCTGTATAGAATAGTACGTCTCCATGGTAACTGTCTCTGGTTCCGTCCAAAGTTTCGCCTCTTGCTATATACAGTATACTCCTTGACATAAGTCCTTGTTCGGTTTTTGGTGTGAGAACAGGTATTGTGACGATTTTTGACACTGATTTGCGTCCTGCCGGGTAAGAGTTGCAAAACACAGTTAAGGCAAGGCAAGTTTATTTCTATAGCACCATTCATACATTAAGCGATTTAAAGTAGTAATAATGATAATGCATTAGTTTTATATGACACTCAAAGATCCATACACAGTGGTGATAAGCTACGACTTTAGCCACAGCTGCCCTGGGGCACACTGACAGAAGCAGTTGAACAAATAACCTCCAACTAACTTTATAAAATGCCATAAAAATGTGGTTTCCATACAGTAAAAGTTACATTAATGATTGTGAGAAGCTGTGCTTAAGGCAGTCACTGTTTTCTCCCATGCATCAAACAGAGAAAAACACATTGGCTTAAGCAAAGGACGGTTTATTTATTGAATAATGTGTTTTTAATGTGGTTGTTGTTGTTGTGGAAATGACAGAATCTCAGAAAACACATACAGTGCACGGTCAGCTGAAGGGTGTTACATTTCCAAAGATGACGATGATGTAGAAGATAAAAGTGAAGAGACTGTACATGTTCTGTGGCGCTTTTGTCAAGAGTGAAACTGTGAAACTAAAGGAAATTTGACTATGTTTAATTTTTGGACTTTTGTTGTAGTTTACTGTATATATGTATCCTGTATGTCTTAACATAAAATCATGAAATAACGACTTATATCTTTGTAATATATTGAAAACTGTTTAATATAAATGTTTGTGAAATATAAAACAGTTCATTTGTTGTAACTATAGTATGATGTTGTTATTTAGTGATGTTTTTAATAGGATTTCAGAAAAAAGCAGGACTCATGTGCAGGAATGGCAGTTATTGAAGAGTTGTAAAATAGATTACGTCATCACAAACTTATTCTGAGTAAGTGAGGTCAAGTTTCAGACAGAAAAGTCACATTTGAGAGTCCACAGTGGTTTTTCAGCCAGTGTATCTGTCATGAGGTTAGTATTTTTAGCCACAGGTGACGCGCTGCAGACCTGACAGCAGCCACAGTGGAAACAGTGCAGTGAAGTGAAGATAATTGGTGTCAGTCTGCACATTCACAACTGGTCGGTACTTTCTCATTAACCTGGGAGCAATATATTTGTTTACATTATTGACTGACATTACATGAAATATCAGTCAATAGATTGATTGTGATGCTAACTCTACAGTTCTGATCTGGAGCTGAACTGTGAATGGATGATGCTAAGAATACAAAAAATGTGAATTAAAATGTCATTTATTTTATTTTTATTTTTATTTCTTTAATTTGTCCATTATCACTTTTGAAAAGTGTCTTTTATTTACTCCAGCGTTTCAGACAAAGGCCACAGCCTGATACTTTACTATCGTGGTCTGTAAATAAAAGACACTAAAAGACAACAACATTTTTCTTTCTTTTGTGCACCTTTTTTGAATCCAGTGCACTTGTTCAGGCCACTGGGATGTGCAGCCTTATTTGAAACTTTCTTCTGTTTTTACTTTTGCCAGATGTTTTCTTCTGGGTTTGTTTTTGCAGGAAATACAGTCGTTTTTTGTCAAAATATCAAAAGGAAGGTTTGTTGGTGAGCAGCCTTCAAGACTTCTCCAAAGTATTGGGCTTCAAATTGATTTAATTATGAGAGTAATATTTCCATTACAGAACTGTGTTGTAATATTTTTAGTATCATAAAACCAGTGTCATCTTTGTAAAAAAAACAAATCATAATCCACTAAATGTTGCATGCACCAATTATAGAACAAATGGTAAGAATAAGCTGCATGGATCCAATCTGAATCTGAACATTTCCCTCACATAATAATTTGATCTAACTTTGAGTGTGTGGAGCTGCACTGATGTGTCCAAGTGGTTCAGGTCCAGGGCCACTGCCGCCTGTGACATCTGTGCTGGAGACATACTGTTTTAACAACAGTTTATGACAGTTAGTTTCCTGAAGATAAGCTTCTTGGGAAAAGGATTACACCTAATGCACACTCTTCCTGTCCCACTGCGCTCCATCTTTATGATTCTCATTTATATTTTAGCTAAAGGATGATTTACAATCCCCTGTAGCTAAGAGCTAATTGCATAGAAGCCCAAAAAGCACTGCCACAATCACCATCTATGTGTGTAATTCTTGTATTCAATGGTTACACCATAGT